TTGTTGATGTGTGCCAATGCTACTGGTGATTGCAAAGTGAAGCCTTTATTAGTGTATCACTCTGAAACTCCCAGAGCGTTTCAGGCAAAAGAATGTCCTCAAGGATAATTTGTGTGTGCTGTGGAGGGCAAACAGTAAGGCATGGGTCACTAGGGAATTTTTCTATAACTGGTTACACCATGCATTTGCCCCAATGTGAAAAATTACCTAACTGAAAAGAAATTAGAACTTAAGTGCCTCCTGGTGTTAGACAATGCCCTGGTCATCCTACAGACGTGGCAGAGCGACTTTATGGGGACATGAGCTTCATTAAGGTGAAGTTTTTGCCTCCTAATACCACTCCTCTCCTGCAGCCCATGGACCAGCAGGTTATTTCCAACTTCAAGAAACTGTACACAAAAGCTCTGTTTGAAAGGTGCTTTGTAATGACCTCAGAAACTCAACTGACCTAAGAGAGTTTTGGAGAGATCACTTTAATATCCTCAATTGTGTAAACCTTATAGGTAAGGCTTGGAGGAAGTGACTAAGAGGACCTTGAACTCTGCTTGGAAGAAACTGTGGCCAGAATGTGTAGACAAAAGGGATTTTGAAGGGTTTGAGGCTAACCTGAGAATCCTGTGCCAGTTGAGGAATCCTTGTGGCATTGGGAAAGTCCTGGGGTTGGAGGTTAGTGGGGAGGATGTGGAAGAGTTGGTGGAGGAGGACAATGAAGAACTAACCACTGATGAGCTGATAGATCAACTTCAAGAGCAAGAGGCCAGACCTGGGGGAAACTGGTTCAGAGGAGGGGAGAGAGAAATTGAAGAAGTTGCCTACTACAAAGATAAAGGAAATCTGTGCAAAGTGGCTTGAAGTGCAAACCTTCATGGATGAAAATCACCCTCACACAGCTATTGCAAGCCGTGCTGGTGATTATTACACTGACAATGTATGTGAAACACTTTAGGCAAGTCATAAAGGAACGAGAGGTACAGGCCACTATGGACAGATATCTTGTGCGGAAAGAAGTCCAGTGACTCTGAAGCTGGCCCTAGTGGCATTAAAAAAGAAGGGAAGTAACCCCAGAAAAGGACTTACTACCTCAAGTCCTAATGGAAGGGGATTCCCCTTCTAAACAGTAAGAAGATAATGCTCTCCCCTCCTCCCATCCCATCAATCATCACCAGATCTTCAATAAAAGTAAGTGTCATGTAATTGTGCATGCCTTTTTCAGTTTGTGTGTATTAAAATTAACATTTCATGTGGTAAAAAAAAATTTTTTTCATACTTTTGGGCGTCTTGCACGGATTAATTTTATTTCCATTATTTCTTATGGGGAAAATTCATTCACATAACGATTATTTCGCATAACAATTATCCCTCTTGCACGGATTAAAATCGTTAACCGGGGGTCCACTGTATACAACCTGGCCAGCTCCGACACACACACTCCACTTTTGTACTTTGCAATTATCTCTTTCTTCATTTCAATAGTCATTAGCACCTTTTTTCTCGAAGGGTTGGCACTAGAAGCTTTCTTGGGGCCCATGGTTACTTATTTTGCAGAAACAAGCACCAAAAACAGTGATAATATGGATAATATGGAATGTACTGAATGTATCCTTAGATGCGCGCACACTGGCTGGCTTGTAAACACTGGCACACATGGGGCAGTTCAGGCCACACGTGGACATGTCTCGTACGAATCGTATCAAATAGCGGGTTTTCGATCGAATGTCGAGGCGAAATTTTTGCGTTAAAATACATCGAATGTCGGATTTATCGAATGTCAATGCCATCGAATGTCGATGCCATCGAATGTCGATGCCATCGAATGTCGATGCCATCGAATGTCGGGAGTCCACTGTATTAGCGAAATTATTGAAGTACAGAATTCCACTGGAATGGATTAATTGCATTTCAATTAATTTAAATGAGGAAAATTGACTCTGCAAACGAGCAAATCCAGTTGTGAGCAAGGTCATGGAACGGATTAAACTTGCAAGTAGAGGTTCCACTGTATTAGAGCGTGGAAGTATAGGGTAAGGAGTGTCATTTGTGGTACATAGTCTTGTATCTTGGAAAGGATTCCTACTGATTTGTAAGTTTTCTTGGCTATGTGATAGGTGTGGAACTGAAATTTAAGATTACAGTCAAGGAGAAGACCTAGAAATTTGCCCTCCGTGTGTCTTGATATAGTATCTAGTTCCCTTGCAGTGCTCCCCTTTCTTTGTATTTGACTGACTCCTCCTCCTTAATTTACTACTACTACTACTACTATACTACTACTACTACTATACTACTACTACTACTATACTACTACTACTACTATACTACTACTACTACTATACTACTACTACTACTACTACTATACTACTACTACTACCACCACTACTACTACTACTACTACCACTACTACTACTACTACTACTACTACCACTACTACCACTACTACTACTATCCACTACCCACTACTACTACTACTAACCACTACTACTACTACTACCACTACTACTACTACTACCACTACTACTACTACTACTACTACCACTACTACTACTTCCACTACCACCACTACTACTACTTCCACTACCACCACTACTACTACTACTACCACCACTACTACTACTACTACCACCACCACTACCACCACCACTACTACTACCACTACCACCACCTGTTCCTGCCTATATATAGCCATCCTGCTCCACTTTTGGTTAGTGTGACTTTGTAAATGGTCCAAGTCGGACCGAAATGTCATCGTAAGCTCCTCTCTTCTATGTGCGGCTTATTTGTGTATTGTGTATTAAGTTAGATATTTAAGGCTCTGTTGCCAAACAGCATGAAGTATGTTTTGTTTATGTTGAGAGTGAGTTTGTTGGTCATCATCCAAGTATATATCTTTAGCAGCTCATTGTTTACAGTGTTTCCAAGTACATCTGCATCTGAATGGAGGTAGACATAAGTAGTGTCATCTGCAAATAGAACTGGTTTAAGGAGTTGGGATGCATTGGGGAGATCATTGATATGGGGTAGTCCTACAGCTACAGGTTGGATAGCAGAGTTGACTCCATTTGCATATACATACTGGTGTCTGTCGTCAAGATAGGATTTTAGGTAGTCAAAAGAATGTCCTCTGTTGCTGTAATGATTCAGTTTTAGGTGCAAGAGTGTGTGGTCATCTGTATCAAATGCTTTTCATAGGTCGATGAAGAGCCCCAGAGGATATTCATTTTTATCGAGAGCTGTATATATTAGGTCAAGCATTTGTATAATAGCTTCATTCGTATATTTTTTGGTATAAGCCCAAACTGACAGGGGTTAAGAATGTTGTTGGATGCAAGGTAGGAGTAAAGTCGCTTGTTTTATTTTTTCGAATATCTTGGAAAGTAAGGACAAGTTTGATATGGGTCTATAGTTGTTCAAGTTAGTTGGATCACCTCCTTTGTGGACTGGGGTGACCCTTGCTGTCTTGAGTATAGATTGGAAGGTTGAGGATGCTACAGATTTGTTAAACATTGTTGCGATAATGGGTGACAGCTCATGTGCAGCTTTTTTATGTATGAATGGTGGCAAGTTATCTAGATCACCCGCTTTGTTTTTTAATGATTTAATGACTAGTGAGACTTCAGTGGAATTAATTGGAGCTAGAAATAGAGTATTTGGGTAGTTGCCAGTGAGGTACCCATTCGGCTGGGTATTTGAGCTGGAAATTTGACTTGCTAGCTTTGATCCTACAGTAGAGAAGAAGACATGAAATTTGTTGGCCGTGTCTATAGGCTGTATGTGAGGTTCATTTGGTTTAGTTAAGTTTATCTCTCTATTTCCAGACAGTTTTCCTAGAGCCCAAAATTTTGGAGAGGGTTTGCCAAGTGCTTTTCATATCGGTCACCATGAGCTCAGCTCACTCAGATAAGCTGTGACTGGTAAATTTGGGCCTACATATGAGAGAATAGGCCTGTGTGGTAAGTGTGCACTACATAAAAAAATTCCTGAAAGTTAAGACACACGTGCAACATCTGGGTATCTTTTCTTGTTGGTATTGTATACCTTTCTTGCACAAAAAGAATCCTACAGCATGCAGTGCATAATGAGAAAAAAACTGCAGCCTAGCTTTTGGTGTAAAACAGCGACTTTGCTGTGTATTTTCGTATGATTTTTATGGTTGTATTCTTTTTTTTTTTTTTGGTATTGTGTGACAAGGGAAGATATATTACAGAAATAGATATGAGGCTGATTGGTTTCACGGTGGAAAGTACAGTGTACCTTGAAATTGAGCTCAAAGCAGAAATGTTCTATTTTTGCCGATGTTCAAGAGTAAACAAATGACATTGCCATCCAATACGTGTCCAACTGGTTGGTCTAATGCACACTCACGAATGGGTTGACATTATTTATACAATTATTACAGTATTGCAGTAGTCTGCATAACAGTAAATTTTCTATTTTCTGTGTAAATAAAAATTCAGAATTGAAAGTGTTCTACCTTTCTTACAAAAGCAAGCGTATTATAAGAGGGGCCTGGAGACATGACTAATGAACAGAGAAAATGTTGTTTTAGTGCGAGAAATGTATGTATTGTTTATTCTGGACCCTATTTTGAAATTTGTGTGAAATTGGCCAAATTACTAATTTCTGACCACTTTATGGCATAGTTGAAATAAGTAAATGAGCAATTGCTTGTACTCAATAGACAAAATAGAAGGTATACTAGCAAAATAACTATGAGTTTGGTCCGAAAATAGGGCGTAAAGTGGGCAAAATCGCCAACGCATAAATATCACCGCTAGGTTAAATGTATTCTGACCTAACCACTATGTAATCCGGTAAATTCACTAATCTGGCACCCTACAGGTCCTGATGATGCTGGATTAGTGATGGCCAACCTGTATAATATTGATCACCAGTTAATGCCTGATGGCATTATCACTTAAGTTGTAGTGTTAAATATTGAAAATATCATTGTCCACAGAGTTGGCTACCTTGTTAATAATATAATGTATATGTTTTCTTTGTTGCAGGAGGTGCAGAATTTGTTAGTAAGAAATTACAGGGAGCTGCAGAATGTTCTCTTCAACAAGTTGGACAGTAAGTTGCTTATCACATGCTCTTTTAAAATGATTCATTTTTCTGTGCAATAATATTGCCAGCCTTAATTGTATTATACTAATTTTTGAAGTTACAACCCAGTTTTTACAATAGATATTTATAATTTATTTTATTTTGATTTGATGAATATAAACATATTTACCACATGAATAGAGAAACTTAATTTGAGACACAAATGAAACAAGAAATGAATTGGCAGAGTATAAAAGCAAATTCGAATCACACATGATCACTTGAAGGTCTTTCACAATATGGTGTGAAAGACCTTGGAGTGATCATTTCAGAAGACCTCACCTTCAAGGATTACAATTGTGTCACTATCACAACCACAACAATTATAGGCTGGATAACCTGGACTAGATCAACCAGGCTGTATTGGATATGTGGGTCAGTGGGCCACCAACAGCAACAGCCTGGTTAATCAGGCAAGCACCAAACGATCCTGGCTTAAGGCCAGGCTCAGAACTCATCAAAGGTAAAGGTATTCAAAACAAGGGATGCCAAATCATTGATGATACTCAGGTTCTTTGTTCTGAGCTGGAGTACTGCTGTACTCTTAAGAGTTCAAGACAGGCAGAATTGCAGATCTGGAGAAGGTGCAGAGAACCATCACTGCTTGAATAGATTCAGTTAATCACCTAAATTACTGGGAATGTTTGAAGTTCCTTGATTCATACTCTTTGGAATGTAGGCAAGATGCATTGTAATATACAACTGGAAAAATTCTTGTTAATTAGAATGCCAAATTGTCAGTGGTTGTTGATTGTACTTCAGTGCTCAAGTGTTCTGTGATGCACCTCTGTCTATTTTACCCTGCAGTATTAACTTCTGCCATTCTTTCCACTAAGTCACAATCTGCACTACTAATTGCTCAAGTGCTTATTTTCTTTTTTCTTTTCTTTTCCACTTATTGTACATTTAGTGGACTCTCTTAGATCAAAAGTACTGAGATTCTGCATCATTAGTGTGTTACTTTGAAGCATATCAGAAAATAACTCCTAACTTAATATTGTCATAGATTTATGCATATTCTTTTTATTCCCTTAAGCATCAGAAGAAATGGGGTGATAAACAATCCAAAATTGTTTGATAAAAACAGTTCATATATGCACTTCTCCCGGAAAGCTACTACAGTAGAACCTCGGCTTACGAGTGCCCCACCATACAAGTTTTTCAAGATATGAGCAGTTGCTCGGCTGATATTTTTGTTTCTGGATACGAGCAAAATTTCAGGATGCAAGTTTCCCCCTCAAGGGCGATTCAGCTCTTGATCTAAGGAATTGTATCTGTGTTCCGGTTCCCTAAATAAATAATAATAATAATAATAATAATAATAATAATAATAATATAATACGTACGTACTACTACTGCAGTGGTACCTTGGGATACGAACAGCTCAAAACTCAAATAGTTATATAAGTGTATTTATGTAAGTGCTTTTGTAAGTGTATTTTTGGGGGTCTGACACGGATTAATCTGATTTACATTATTCTTATGGGAACAAATTCGTTCGGTATCAACACTCGAACAGCCTTCTGGAACGAAAAAAATTCATATCCCAAGGTACCACTGTACTACTACTACTATTACTACTAATAATAATTAATATACAGTGGACCCTCAGTTAACAATTTTAATCCGTTCCAGAGAGCTTGGCCTTAACTAGTTTTATCGTTATCCGATTTAATTTTCCGGTTAAGAAATAATGAACGTTCAATTAATCCGTTCCAGACACCCAAAAGTATTAAAATTTTTTTTTTTTCACGTGAAATATACATTTTCCTACACAGAAAACAATGAGACATGAAGAATAAATACAGTAATAATTCATAAAATGACACTTACCTTTATTGAAGACTGAGTGATGAGATGGGAGGAGGGGAGATGATGGAGGTGTATTATTGTTTGGAACATAAGAAAGAAGGAACACTGCAGCAGGCCTACTGGTCCATGCAAATGCAGGTCCATGTCACCATCCCCCCCAGCTTAGACCAATGACCCACCTAGGTCAAATCCATTGAAGGAAGGAGCGTGACATCAGACCTAGTAGCACAAGCTAGTCAGGTCCATCTCACACCCACCCATGCTCACTCGCGTATTTATCTAACCTATTTTTACTTTCCTCTTAAAATGGGAGTGTTAATGTGACATGGCATCAGTGAATCCCCAGTGTTTGCCATGCTATTTGCTCTAGCTTGCACTCAGTTGAACTGGTGCTCCCACAAGGTACTAAGTGCTACCAGGAGTCTAACGGGAGGGTATTCCAGGGATCAACGCCCCCACTGCCTGGTCCATGACCAGGCCTCCCGGTGGATCAGGGCCTGATCAACCAGGCTGTTACTGCTAGCTGCACGTAGTCCAACGTATGAACCACAGCCTGGCTGATCCAGCACCAACTTGGCTATCTATCCAGCTCCCTCTTGAAGGCAGCCAGGGGCCTATTGGTAATTCCCCTTATGCTTGGTGGGAGGCTGTTGAACAGTCTTGGGCCCTGGACATTTATGGTGTTTTCTCTTAGTATACCAATGGTGCCCCTACTTTTAATTGGGGGTATTTTGCATCGCCTGCCCAATCTTTTACTTTCATAGGGAGTGATTTTCGTGTGCAGATTCGGGACCATTCCTTCTAGGATTTTCCAAGTGTAGGTTATGATATATATCTCCTGCATTCCAGTGAGTAAAAGTCAAGTGCTTCCAAGCGTTCCCATTAGTTGAGGTGCTTGATAGAACTTACACATGCAGTAAAGGTTCTCTGTACACTCTCTAGATCTGCAATTTCACTTGCTTTGAATGGAGATGTTAATGTACAGCAGTATTCCAGAACAAGTGATTTGAAAAGGATCATCATTGTCTTGGCATCTCTTGTTCTGAACGTTCTCATTATCCATCCCATCATTTTCTTTGCACTTGTGATCGTGGCACTGTTGTCATCCTTGAAAGTGAGATTCTCAGACATTACTACTCCCAGGTCCTTTACATTAATTTTCCACTTTATTGTATGACCAGAATTTGTAGTATACTCTGCTCAACTTGACAGTCACTGGACCTCTGCCACACCAAAAGTCTGTCCATAGAGCTCTGTTTCTGGTGTATCTTCAAGATTTCCCTAAAATGGGACACAACATTGTCCTTGTAAAAGTCACCAGCACGGCTTGCAACAGCTGTGTCAGGGTGATGTTCATCCATAAAGGCTTTCACCTTTGTCCACGTTGTACAGATGTCCTTAATCATTGAAGAAGGCAACTTCCTCCATCTCTCTCCCCTCTCCTCTGAAGCAGTATCCTCAGCTGCAGTCTGTTGCTGTTGCAGGTGCTCTTTCAGCTCATCAGCAGTTAGCTCTTCATTGTCGTCCTCCACCAGCTCTTCTACATTCCCGCCACTAACCTCCAACCCCATGGACTTCCCCAATGACACAGTCCACAACTGGTATAGGCTCCTCAGGGTTAGCCCCAAACTCTTCAAAATCCCTCTTGTACACATTCTGGCCACAATTTTCTCCAAGCAGAGTTCAAAGTCCTGCAAGTCACTCCCTCCCAAGCCTTACCTATAAAGTTTATGCAACTGAGGATACTGAAATGATCTTTCCAGAACACCCTTAGGGTCCATTCAGTGTCTGAGGTCACTTCAAAGCCCTTTTGAAACACTGCTTGGGTGTGCAGTTTTTTTGAAATTTGAAATGACCTGGTGGTCCATGGGCTGGAGGAGAGGAGTGGTGTTAGGAGGCAAAAACCTCACTTTTATGAAACTCAACTCCCCCACAATTTGCTCTTGAAAGGTTGGAGCATGAGTAAAAGCAATGTCTAATACTAAGAGGCACTTGAGTTTCAATTTATTTTTCAGGAGGTATTTTTTCACACTGGGGCCAAACACGTGATAGAACCAATCGTGGAAAATGTCCCTAGCGACCCCTGCCTTACTGTTTGCCCTCCACATAACACACAAATTAGCCTTGATGACACTGTTTTTCTTGAACACTCTGGGAAGTGGGTATATATAGATATATATAGAGAGAGATATATAGAGACAGAGATGTACACCTACCATCCAACTTACGACCTGCTCGACATACGTCCACTCGACTTACGACTGTGCATCTGGCAGCTGGGCTGGGCCAGCTGATGCACACCGCTGTACAATATTTGACAATACTCGCGGCGGCAATGTGTCATGCAGGCAGCATCAGTTTGAGTAACCCTGCCCTATCAGCAGCATCATACTGTATTAACTGTACTAACTGGACAGTAAATTTCACCATGGCCCCTAAGATGAAGTCTGAATCTTGCACTGGAGATTGTGGCAAGAAAGGCTCTCATTCTCGAACTCTCTATTTGTTTTCACTGTTGCACATCAACCTGTCTGTATCTGTCTGCCTGTATATCTGTCTGTATCTCTGTGTGTCTATCTGTCTACTAGTGTGTCTGTCTTTCTGTCTACCTGTGTGTCTGTCTTTGTCTGTGTGTCTTTGTCTACCTGTGTGTCTTTTTGTCTACCTGTGTGTCTTTTTGTCTACCTGTGTCTGTCTTTCTGTCTACCTGTGTGTCTGTCTTCGTCTGCTTGTCTGTCTCAGAGCCACTCATTAAAAGTGTACTTGGTCTTGACGCCATATTAATAATGATAATAATAATAATAATCACCGAGGTGCATAAATGTGTATAAAACGTTAATATAGACATTTTGCTTAATCCAACTATGATTTTTTTTCAAAATTATATAAACATGCAACATAACATATAAATTAACAAATATGAGATGTTTTTCTGGTTGACTTGACAGTGAACAGGAATCATTCGTGTCCGGGCTGGTAACAACAACAAAAACAACAACAACGTTTGTTTACGTAACTCGTGAACATTCTACATTCTCATTCTCTCTCTCATTTATTCATTTAATCTTGTTTACTCACCTCTGACTCTAAATTAAAACTACAGATATTTTAAGGTAAGTAATGAGTGGACACGATTATTATATTATAGCTTAATAATAATAATATTAATGTTAGTACATATGTATTATTGTAATAATAATGATTATTAATATTATTATTAATT